ATATTTCGACCCTATGCCTGGGTTACACGAAATTTAGATTATGGGGATAATCACTCTGAGAGACAGTCTAAAACTGAGGCACCAATATATAGACCACGAACTAGCAGTTTTAGTAGAACTCGAATTCTTCTGATTACCAAAGAGATAAGGCCAATCGGTTAGAGTTTTACTCTAACAGAAAGTCATTCTATTAAATAATTAATATGGACATGTTTATCCGAAAATAAATTTCCATATTTATTTCTTTAATAAAATAAAATTTTGGTCCGGGGCGCTGCCCCTTGGACCCCGCCAGGGGCGCTGCCCCTTGGACCCCGCAAGGGGGCGCAGCCCCCTTGACCCCCGCCATTTAATCGAACCAAGTTTAAATTTAATTTCGTACAAGTGTGCACTCCGCACCTCCTAACTTGTCTAAAATTAAACTTGAACTCCATTGGTAATCTGTAAATTCCATTACACTAAAATGAACCTGGTGATACTAAAATCACCAACATTGCACACCCGAATTCAGTCACAAAGAGCAAATGTGTGTGGATATGTCATCAAACAAACCTCAAGTTTTTGAATTTTTCTTAGAATTTATCGAAGAAAGAATAGCAAAAATTATGATGGAATAAAACAAAATGACTCACTAAACTGTCTGCGCTTCTTTGTTATGAAGCGGCAGTCAGTCCATGCAATTTTGGACGGGATTTTCACTATGGGTCATCCGGAAACGGTCTCTCTGTGCTTTAGTACAGGGGTAAGACTGCATACATCCGACCCCCCTTACCCCACCGTAGGTGGGAGCCTTTGCGGCACTGGGATAAATGAAAATGAAGGAGTTTTAATTGACAAAAATGCGACTATTTTGAATCTGGACAAAAATATCACCGTCTTGCCATTCTCTTTTCTCGTCCGCCGATCCCCCATCCCCTGCGCAGGGTCTCCTTCCTTTCCCCAATCCAAAGCTCCGCCTTCTCTCTTCGCTTTCTCTCTATGCAAGCTCTCCTCCCCTTCGACCTTCCCGAATCCACAAAGCTCCGCCTTCTCTCTTTTCTTTCTCTCTGCGCGGGCGCTCCTTCCCTTCCCCAATCCACAAAGCTCCGCCTTCTATCTGCGCCTTCACTCTTCTCCGCTCCTCCAATGACCGTACTGTTCTTCGCCGTTGTTAAGGACCGCCACCCTATGGAGCATTTCATCGTTGTCCTCGATGGATCCTCGAACAGTTAGATTTCCAGATCTGGGTTGGGCTGGTGATGGGGGCTGCGAGGCTGGAAGGTGAGGAGGCGGGCTACGAGGGGCTAAGGCAGGGGAGGTGGGCTGCGAGGGACTAGGGCAGGGGAGGGGCTGGAGTGGGACGGTGGGTTGTGGCTAAGTCTTATAGGGGGCAGGGGCTGGGGGTTGAGGAATCAATTTGAAGTAGGGGCGTTTATTGGCAGCGGTGGTTGGGTATAATGGTTGTGTTGGTCACTACGCGGTGGCTGGTGGCATGCCGGACTGGTGGCGCGACTGTGGCGCGACTGTGGCGGGGAGGGGCAGTGGGGAGGGCGCAGGTGTGGGGCTGCGGCGGTGGCAAATCTGCACATTGGGCCGTATGGTAGTCATTGATTTTGGGGTACTGGAGTCTGGGGATGGGCTGGCCGGGAGCAGCAGTTGGCTGGGGGCAGCGGCAGTTACTGGGCGATGGCGGCAGCAGTCACCGACCGGGGGGCAGTCACCGGCCGGGGGCGGCAGTCATCGGCTGGGGGCAGCGGGAACAGTCACCGGAGGAGGAGGCGGCAGCCACTGGCCAGGCGGGGGTGGAAGTCAGTGGGCGGGTTGTCACTATTTGGGCGGGGCAGTCACTAGCGGGGCGGCGGGTGTAGTCACTGCACGGGTGGTCACCAAGTGGTCACTATTTGGTGGTGTTATTTTAGTCACTGAAATTGCAACTCAGTGCATACTAGTCATATTTATGGAATTTTGAGTATGTGGTGACTTTTTTGTCTTCTAGCTTTTATTTAGTAATATTGATAAAATAAGGCCTTTATCGAACTGCTTGATACATCTGGGTTAGGACTCTTTGCTGAACTAGAGAGTAGTTTGACTTTATGTGAACTTGACATTGATGACGTACGTGGACAAAGATATGATAATGGCTCCAACATGAAAAGTAAGCATCAAGGTGTACAAAGAAGATTACTCGACATTAACCAAAAATCCTTTTACGCGTCATGTGTTTGTCATAGTCACAAATTTAACCATTTTAGATATGATAAATGTTCTAGAGCTATTACATTTTCTGGATGTGTTCAAAAATTGTATACATTATTTTCTGGTTCAACAAAAAGATGGGCAATTTTGAAAGAATGTGTACATGATTTTACATTGAAATCATTGTCTACCATACGTTGGTAATGCCGTCTACAAAGTGTGAAAGCAATTTTAACTCAAACTCCCCGAATAATGGAGAAACTTTGATTAAATTGAGAAAAGATTGTCTTCATTATTTGCCAAAAAGTGATGTTAAAAGTGTGCTCAAACAGCTGGAGAAATTTGAGTTGTTATTGGGCATCACAATATGATATAAGGTTTTGCACCTGATTAATCAGGTCAGTAATTAATTATTACAAAGTGAATATATGTCCATTGATATTTGTGTTATGAATATTATGGATTTGATTATTCATTTAAATAGGTCAGTAAATTGTTACAAAGTGAAGATATGTGCATTGATACTTGTGTGATGAACATGAATGATTTGATTATTTATTTAAAAAGGTATAGAGAAGAAGGGTTTGAAGATGCTCTGAACACCACAAAAGGCCATGCTCTTGAAATGGGAGTGGAACTTAGTTTTACTAAAAAACGATTGACGCGTAGAAAAAAAAATTGTGATGAAGACAATGAAGAAGATAATGAAGATAAGTCTCCAGAAGAATCTTTTTAAGTGTTTTTATGTCAATGTTGTGATGGATGCCGCTTTGATGTTTTTGCGAACTAGATTTGATCATATGAACTAGATTTGATCATATGCCGCTTTGGCTTCCTGTTTAGTTCAAGAACATGAAATCGTTGGTTCATGAAAAATTAAACGAATGTTGTGAGATACTTGCAGATGCTTTACAAGATGGTGAGAAAGAAGATGTTGACACTTGAAAGTACCATGGCCACTGCAGAAAGAAGTTTTTCAAAGTCGAAGATTCTCAAAAATTATCTGTTATAAAAAATGTCTTAAAAAAGGCTTAATGGATTAGCTATACTATCTCCGTTCCTTAAAACTTTGTCAAAGTTGACCGGCACGGAGAATAATAAAGTAAAAACTGTGTAGTTGAAGTTTGAGCAGAGGAGAGAGAAATAACAGAAACCACAAAATAATTGATTAAAGCAAAGTTTTAAGGGACGGAGGGAGTATTAAACATTGAACATAATGTGTTGGAGAAGCTTGATTATGGAGTTATAGTTGATGACTTTGCTTCACAATGATCAAGCAGTATTGTATTTAAGTATTTTTTTATATGATTGTTTTGAAAACGTGATTCGACTATGTTTAATTTAACGAATTCAAGTATTTTCTTAATTATAAAGATCTTCAAATATTATTGTTTTGCATGTTAATTTAGATAGAAACATGTTTTACTTTTTAAAAAAATCCCCTAAGCCTTCAAATATACACGGCCGCCCCCGTCCATATTTTAGTTCACACTTCTGAGATAGAGCTCCAATCTATATGACCCTTCCGACGAGTACGAAACTCAAAGTTAAAGATGATGAAATTCTGGATTTGATCCCTTTGCAAATTAGGGCTGTGGCAATAGGTTGCCTAACTACGCTGAAGATTTCTGGGCTGGCAGGGTATTCTTTTTGGGAAGTGTGTAATGAGTCAGCAAAATTGGCGATATTTCTTTAGTTTATGTTTTTCTTTAATACTGTCTTATATTTTTAAAGTTTGATATTCAAATATATGGACTAACTTGATCAATTTAACACTACAAGGATTAAAATCAACACTTTGAAATAATACTCCGACTATTTAGGTAAAACAAATTTATGACAATAACTGAACCACTTTCATACTTCATAGACTCATACTACCTCCATCCTGGCTTAAGATATCTATTAAAAAATGACACGTTTTTTAGACAATAATTAAATGATGCAATTTGAGAAGTAGTTTGGGAGATGAATAATATAACAGGGTGATTGATAATAACTGTAATATTATGGAAATCCTCCCGCTGCTATAGTGCTATTGTAGGGGTTTTAACCATTTTTATGCATTGGGTGCCCTTTTTTCTCCAACACTAGATGCGCATGATGTAGGCTCCCTTAGAACTAGATTCCTAACTTCTAAATCATGAGAGGGGCTCGCTTCACAAAGTGTCGAGCATTGTTCATCGCGCTAGTTAGGATCTTTTTACTTGGACTGTTTTCAGTCTCAGACCAGACCAAACTTATACCGACCAGACCAGACTTGACTTCCGTAGTTATAAAATACACAGAGACCAACCGTTTACCAGACCAGACCAGTTCAGACCAGACACAATCAAACTTAAACAAATCAGACCAGCAAATTATTGTCCAAGTAAAAACATTTGTACGCTAATACCTCTAAGAAATATGTTTATCCACCGTTGGTCAGTAATGTGGGTTGGCTTGGATTACTACCTCTAACGATATAATAATCACATAATCACAGGATCGAGCGTATAGCTCCACAAATTCGCTTTCCACTAGGATCGAGGGTTGATGTGTCGTATGGCATATGAAGTTACGAACTGCAGGATTTATTGGCTGGAAATGTCAGCATTGGTACTGTTAAAAATAAAAAAACCTTCTTAAGTGTTTTTTTAATATGTAATGATTCAGTTGTCACTTAAGAGTGTTAAATAGAACTGTGAGCCATTAAATGGAACATCCAAAAGAGGCAGGAGAGAACCTTTACCTAGGATGGAGGGAGTAGTTGCTTTCCATGCCCAGTATAACACTCATAAAGCTCAGATGAGCAGAAAGCATTCAGTGAAGGGTTAGGATCATACCTTCATGGGGAAACCTCGATAAAACTGCATGGCTTGTGTTGGAATTGGAGCAAGCACCCTCACAGTTTGAAGACCTTCAGAACGCCTACATATCGAGCATAACTTATAAAAAATATTAACTTAATCAATGATATCAATAAATACAACCCAGCATTGATTTCAGAAAAAAGGTTCCGGGTTTCTGGTTCGAGGTTTAGGGTACAGGTTTCCGGGTTCAGGGTTCAGGGTTTCAGTTTCCGGGTTCCAGGTTCAGGGTTCAGGATTCCGGGTTCAAGGGTTCTAGGTTCGGGTTTAGGGTTCCGGGATCCGGGTTCCGGGTTAAGGGTTCGGGGTTTAGAGTTCAGAGTTCCGGGTTCGGGCGGGGTTTGGAGTTCGGGTTCCGGGTTCTGGGTTCCGGATTCCGGGTTCAGGGTTCCGGGTTTAGGGTTTAGTGTTCCGGGTTCCGGGTTTGAGGTTCGGGGTTCAGGGTTCCGAGTTCCGAGGTTGGGGTTCAGGGTTCGAGGTTAGGTGTTTGGGGTTTTGGATTCAGGGTTCCGGGTTAAGGGTTCGGGGTGTTCAGAGTTCCAAGTTCGGGGTTCGGGGTTCGAAGTTTCAGGTTCCGGGTTCTGGGTTTTGGATTCCGGGTTCAGGGTTCAGGGTTCGGGGTTTAGGGTTCCGGGTTTGAGGTTCGGGGTTCGCGGTTCTGGTTTCGGGGTTCGAGGTTCGGTGTTCGGGGTTTTGGATTCAGGGTTCAAGGTTTAGGGTTTTGGGTTCCGGGTTCCGGGTTCCGGGTTTAGGGTTTCGGTTCAGGGTTTCGGGTTCCGGATTCTGGGTTCCGGATTCTGGGTTCTTCCGGTTCTGGTTCTGGGTTCCGGGTTCCGGGTTCGGGGTTCGAGGTTCGGGGTTTGGGGTTCAGGGTTCCGGTTAAGGGTCCGGTTCCGGGTTCGAGGTTCAGGGTTCCGGGTTCCGGGTTATGGTTACGGGTTCGCAGTTATGGGTTCCAGGTTCCGAGTTCGGAGTTCCGGGTTCGGAGTTCGGGGTTCCAGGTTCCGGGTTCCAGGTTCAATGTTCAGTGTTTAGGGTTCAGGGTTCGGGGTACGGGGTTCGGGTTTCTAGGTTCAGGGTTCAGGGTTCGAGGTTCTGGGTTCCGGGTTCCGAGTTCCGGGTTAGGGTTACGGGTGTTGGGTTATAGGTTCCAGGTTCCGGATTCGGGGTTCCGGGTTCGGGGTTCGGGGTTTAAGGTTCGTTCAGGGTTTAGGGTTCAGGGTTCAGGGTTTAGGATTTTCAGGGTTCAGAGTTCAGGGTTCCGGTTCCGGGTTCCGGGTTCAGGGTTCACGATTCTGTGTTCAGGGTTCCGGGTTCCGGGTTCAGGGTTCCGTTTCCAGGTTCCGGCTTCAGGATTCGGGGTTCGGAGTACAAGGTTTTGGGGTTCTGGGTTCAGGGTTCAGGGTTCAGGAATCAGGTTCAGGTTTCCGATTCCGGTTACGGGTTCCGGGTTTCAATTTAAGGGTTCAAGGTTTAGGGGGGTTCCGGATTCAGGGTTTTGAGTTTCGGGTTCCAGGTTCTTGGTCCCGGGTTTCGGGTTCTGGGTTCCGGGTTCAGGGTTCAGGGTTGGGTTCCGGGTTCAGGGTTAGGGGTTCAGGGTTCGAGGTTTGAGGTTTGGTGTTCGGTGTTCGGAGTTCGAGGTTCCGGTTCCGGGCTTTAGTTCCGTGTTCCGGGTTCTGCATTCCGAGTTCGATGTTCGGGGTTCAGGGTTTGGGGTTCGGGGTTTGGGGTTCGAGATTCGGGGTTCAAGGTTCGGGGTTCGAAGTTCCAGGTTCTGAGTTCTGGGTTCCGGATTCCGGGTTCAGGGTTCCGAGTTCAGGGTTCCTGGTTTCAGGTTCCGGGTTCGAGGTTAGGGGTTTAGGGTTCCGGGTTCGAGGTTCGGGGTTCGAGGTTCGGTTTTACGGGTTTTGGATTCAGGGTTCTGGGTTCCGAATTCCGAGTTCAGGGTTCAGGGTTCGGGATTCAGGGTTAAAGGTTCAGGATTCAGGGTTCTGGTTTAGGGTTCAGGGTTCAGGGTTCCGGGTTCCGGGTTCAGGGTTTCGGGTTCGGAGTTCAGGGTTCTGGGTTCCGGGTTCAGGGTTCAGAGTTCTGGGTTCAGGGTTTCGGGTTCAGGGTTTCGGGTTCAAGGTTCAGGGTTCTAGGTTCGGGTTCAGGGATCTGGGTTCCAGGTTTAGGGTTCGGGGTTCCGAGTTCCGAGTTCCGAGTTCGAGGTTCGGGGTTCGAGGTTTCGGGTTCGGGTTTAGGGTTCGAGGTTCGGTGTTCGGGGTTTTGGATTCAAGGTTCCGGGTTTCAGGTTAAGGGTTTGGGGTTCGGAGTTCAGAGTTCGGGGTTCGGGGTTCGGAGTTCCAGGTTCAGGGTTCCGGTTCAGGGTTCCGGCTTCCGGGTTCGAGGTTCCGGGTTCGAGGTTCGGTGTTCGGGGTTTTGGATTCAGGGTTCCGAGTTCCGGGTTAAGGGTTCGGGGTTCAGAGTTCAGAGTTCGGGGTTCGGGGTTCGAAGTTCCAGGTTCCAGGTTCCGGTTTCGGGTTCCGGGTTCGGGGTTCAGGGTTCAGGGTTTCGGGTTCAGGGTTCAGGGTTTCGGGTTCAGGGTTTCGGGTTCCAGGTTCAAGGTTCAGGGTTCCAGGATCCAGGATCAGGGTTCCGGGTTCAGGGTTCGGGGTTTGGGGTTTGGGGTTCCGGGTTCCAGTTCAGGGTTTCGGGTTCGGGGTTCAGGGTTTCGGGTTCCGGGTTCAGGGTTCTAGGGTTCTAGATTCCGGGTTCCGGATTCCTGGTTCAGGGTTCAGGATACCGAGTTCCAGGGTTCTAGGTTCGGGTTCCGGGTTAAGGGTTCGAGGTTCAGAGTTCAGAGTTCTGGGTTCGGGGTTCGGGGTTCGGGTTTCAGAGTTCTAGGTTCCAGGTTCCGGGTTCCGAGTTCCGAGTTCCGGGTTCAGGGTTCCGGGTTTCTGGTTCGAGGTTCAGGGTTCAGGGTTCCGGGTTCAGGGTTTCAGTTTCCGGGTTCCAGGTTCAGGGTTCAGGGTTCAGGATTCCGGGTTCAAGGGTTCTAGGTTCGGGTTTAGGGTTCCGGGATCCGGGTTCCGGGTTAAGGGTTCGGGGTTTAGAGATCAGAGTTCCGGGTTCGGACGGGGGTTGGGGTTCGGGTTCCGGGTTCTGGGTTCCGGATTCCGGGTTCAGGGTTCCGGGTTCAGGGTTCCGGGTTTAGGGTTTAATGTTCCGGGTTCCGGGTTTGAGGTTCGAGGTTCAGGGTTCCGAGTTCCGAGTTCGGGGTTCAGGGTTCGAGGTTCGATGTTCGGGGCTTTGGATTCAGAGTTCCGGGTTAAGGGTTCAAGGTTCGATGTTCGGGGCTTTGGATTCAGGGTTCCGGGTTAAGGGTTCGTGGTGTTAAGAGTTCCGGGTTCGGGGTTCGAAGTTTCAGGTTCCATGTTCTGGGTTCCGGATTCCGGGTTCTGGGTTCGGGGTTCAGGGTTGGGGGTTTAGGGTTCCGGGTTTGAGGTTCGGGGTTCGCAGTTCTGGTTTCGGGGTTCGAGGTTCGAGGTTCGGTGTTCAGGGTTTTGGATTCAGGGTTCCGGGTTCAGGGTTTAGGGTTTCGGGTTCTGGGTTTAGGGATTCGGTTCAGGGTTTCGGGTTCCGGATTCCGGGTTCGGGGTTCAGGGTTCTGGGTTCCGGGTTCGGGGTTCAGGGTTCTGGGTTCCGGGTTCGGGGTTCTAAGTTCAGTTCCGGGTTCGGAGTTCCAGGTTCAGGGTTCCGGTTCCGGTTCCGGGTTCCGGGTTCCGGGTTCGGGGTTCAGGGTTCAGGGTTCGGGGTTCAGGGTTCTGGGTTCCGGGTTCACGGTTTTGGGTTCAGGGTTTCGGGTTCCGGGTTCAAGGTTCTGGTTTCGAGGATCCGGGTTCCGGGTTCATGATTCGGGGTTCGGGGTTCGGGGTTCGGGGTTGTTCCGGGTTCAGGGTTCCGGGTTCGGGGTTCAGGGTTCCGGGTTCAGGGTTCAGGCCGGGTTCAGGGTTTAGGCCGGGTTCAGGGTTATGGATTCCAGGTTCCGAGTTCGGAGTTCTGGGTTCGGAGTTCGGGGTTCCAGGTTCCGGGTTCCAGGTTCAATGTTCAGGGTTTAGGGTTCAGGGTTCCGGGTTCGGGGTACGGGATTCGGGTTTCTAGGTTCAGGGTTCAGGGTTGGGTTTCGGGTTCAGGGTTAGGGGTTCACGGTTCGAGGTTTGAGGTTTGGTGTTCGGTGTTCGGAGTTCGGGGTTCCGGTTCCGGGTTTTAGTTCCGTGTTCCGGGTACAGGGTTCCGAGTTCGGTGTTCGGGGTTCAGGGTTTAGGGTTCGAGGTTTGGGGTTCGGGGTTCGAGATTCGGGGTTCAAGGTTCGGGGTTCGGAGTTCCAGGTTCCGAGTTCTGGGTTCCGGATTCCGGGTTCAGGGTTCCGACTTCAGGGTTCCTGGTTCCGGGTTCGAGGTTCGGGGGGGAGGGTTCCGGGTTCGAGGTTTGGGGTTCAAGGTTCGGTGTTACGGGTTTTGGATTCAGGGTTATAGGTTCCGAGTTCCGAGTTCAGGGTTCAGGGTTAAAGGTTCAGGATTCAGGGTTCTGGTTCCGGGTTTCGAGTTCCGGGTTCAGGGTTCCGGGTTCCGGGTTCAGGGTTCAGGGTTCCAGGTTCGAGGTTCGGGGTTCAGGGTTCTGGGTTCTGGGTTCAGGGTTCCGGGTTCAGGGTTCAGAGTTCGGGGTTCAGGGTTTCAGGTTCAGGGTTTCGGGTTCAAGGTTCAGGGTTCTAGGTTCGGGTTCAGGGTTCCGGGTTCCAGGTTAAGGGTTCGGGGTTCCGAGTTCTAGGTTCCGGGTTCGAGGTTCAGGGTTCGAGGTTTCGGGTTCGGGTTTAAGGTTCGAGGTTCGGTGTTCGGGGTTTTGGATTCAAGGTTCCGGGTTAAGGGTTTGGGGTTCGGAGTTCAGAGTTCGGGGTTCGGGGTTCGGAGTTCCAGGTTCAGGGTTCCGGTTCAGGGTTCCGGGTTCCGGGTTCGAGGTTTCGGGTTCGAGGTTTGGTGTTCGGGGTTTTGGATTCAGGGTTCCGAGTTCCGGGTTAAGGGTTC